CTGGAGCACTGTAGTCACATGTCCATCACTGTAGTCACATATCCATCACTGTAGTCACATATCCATCACTGTAGTCACATGCCCATCACTGTAGTCACATATCCATCACTGTAGTCACATGTCCATACAGCCAAGCCTGGCTAGCACTGGGTTCAACCAAATGGAGGACTCCAGGCTCTGGGGTTCGGGTGAACAGCACACTGCGGCTCTAACCCCTCCCCACAGGTAACCCCACATTCAGGGGCATGATCCCAGGACCTGGCTTCCCTCTCTAAATGAAATTAGGAAAGAAAGTGGTAAAGAAAATGGATTTCACTATAGTTTGATCAAAGTGAGAAGAGATAAGCCTACAGCCATCATGTCATTTAAGGATAACTTTGTGACAGAGACTAGAACACGTGCAAATTTGGGATAGGCTATGAGTCCCTTCCTGGGGAAAGAAGACCGAGGCCTAGACCGAGGCCTAGACGTTCTCCCCTCTCTGTTAGAAAAAAAAATTTTTTTATTCAAGTCTAGCTGAAGAAAATGAGGTCTTCAACATCTCCTAGTTTTGAAAGAGAAAAGAATTTCTGGTGATATTGATTGCACCCACTCAGGGCCTGGAAGAATTCCTGTCTTTTTCTTTTCATATCAACCCATTCTTCTTAAACGTGCTGATTTTCAAGAGGGAAAAAGATGATAATCTAGCTGGGCAGTGGTGGCGCACGCTTTTAATCCCAGCACTGAGAGGCAGAGGCAGCAGATCTTTGTGAGTTTGAGGCCAGCCTGGTCTATGGAGTGAGTTCCAGGACAGCCAGAGCTGTTACACAGAGAAACCCTGTCTCAGAAGAAAAAAGATAAAAGATAAAAGATAATCTGATCATGGAAAGGAGGGAACAAGGGTCTCTTTAAAGTATCCCCATCTTGTCAGGGCTTCAGTATGGAATCGAAGCACATACTTGTCCCAGAATCCTGAGCCCCAAAGGGCTGCAGGAAGGGCAGGGGCTTGCCTAAGTCTCGCAGACTTCCAGGAGGCACTCTCCCTGCTCCATGTCAGGTGGCCCTCCCCCCACAGCACTTGGAGATGAGAGAGGGCCCCAGAGGCCGCCCACTGTGTGGGCGCTGTCATCCGTGTTCCGCTAGGAAGAGCTGATGTGCAAGGCTTGCCAACGGGTGGGTGACCTGGCAGAGATGTACGGTTGGTCGCAGTGGAATCTGGTTGCCATGGGGATGAGAGGTTTTTCTGCTCAAGCTGTTTGAGAAGCAAATTTTCCATTGAGTATGTGTCTCACATCTTTCACTTTTTAGAGATTTTGTTTTCTTTTCAAGAAGCATCAAGAGCGGGTTAAACATTAAAGGGCCAGTTATGCAGGCCTGGAGGCTTCAGCTGTAATCCCAGCTACTAAGTAGACTGAGGCATGAGGATCAAAAGAAGTCAAGGCCTTCCATCACCTATCAGCCCTGCCCCACCTCACGACCACAGGTGGTCGGTGGCTACTGTTTCTTTTTTCCTTCTTTTGAGACAGGGTTTCTCTGTGTTAGCAGTCCTGGCTGTCAGGGAACTCTGTAGCCCAGGCTGGCCTTGAACTCAGAGATCCGCCTGCCTCTGCCTCCCGAGTGCTGGGATTAAAGGCGTGAGCTGCCACCACCACCGGGCTGCCAGTGGCTACCTAAAGTCAAATAAATTAGTGATAGCTTTGCTCTTGATTAAAGGATCCTAGTGCTAACCGCCTCCCCAGAGGCAGCCTGATGTGGTGTCTGTCACCGTCCAGACCTCTCTGCACCCCTTCCTGCTTGAGTGGTCTTTGGGAGCACTGACCTGTCTCTGTCTCTTCAGTTTAGGTTTTTGTTTTCATTTCTTTCTCTTGTTTCTGTTTCTTCCCGGGTGAGAGGGTTGGGTAAGGCTTTGCTGGACTACAAAGTTCGAGGCCAACCAAGGCCATTTAACCGACCCTGTCTCGGGATAAAAGCTAAAAGGGAGGCATTGCTGAGGCTCACTAGAATATCCCGCTGTTGCCCAGAGTCAGGGTAATGTTGTTGCTGGGCGTCTGGGATCAGGCTCTGCAGCTCCTGGCTGCTGCACACCTCTCTACCCTGGGTGGCTGCTGCGTGCTGCGGCTTCTGACTCCACCTTTGGGTTCGTAGCCTGCAGGTAGCACAGCTGACCCACACCCTCCCTCTCCCAGCAGGGAGCAGTACAGGCTGCAGCCTCAGCAGCTCCATGTTGGGGGCCAGCGGGCGGTCCCCTAGGACCGACTCTGTTCAGTAATGACATGGTTCCGAGGGAGCTCCAGACCGCTCCACATCTCCCCGTCATCCGCGCTGGGAGCCCCAGGGCTTACTGGGCGCGACCTCCGAGCTTTGCAGCCTGCCGCTGCCTGAGATGCGTGCTGCGGTCGGCTCTGTTCCACCCTTTCTTTCCAAATCCGTGAGTCCACGGTTTAAAAGCATCTTCCCGTAAGACTTTCCTTTTCTTTTTCTTTCTTTCTTTTTCTTCTTTTTAGTTGTTCTGAAGCTATTGCACCCCTGCAGACTCCTTTTCTGCCGCCGTCACCCCTCAGAGCCTCCATGGGTCTCAGACTCCTCAGAACCGCCATCTTTGTTTTCCTCCGGGTTCTTATGTTCTAATCTTAACTGCTGATATTAGCTCTCAGAGCACACATGGCACTTTGCAAACGGCTACAGAAGGGTTACAGAGGCTACCAGTTCAAAGAGGTCTTAGTGGAGCCAGGGCAGGGGTGCTACAGACACAGAGCACACCAGGGTTGCTGCAGGTGTGTAGACCGGGTGTGTACACCAGGTGTGTAGACCGGGTGTGTAGACCAGGTGTGTACACCAGGTGTGTACACCAGGTGTGTACACCAGGTGTGTACACCAGGTGTGTACACCAGGTGTGAACCGGCTGGACAGCTGCAGGAGGTGTGCAGACCAGCAACGGATCGAGCCAACAGGAGGCACAGGACCAGGTCTGGTTGTATGGGGAGTGATTCGGTAATGGAGCCGGTGTGTCAAGCAGCCAGGACCATGATGAGCTGGAGCTCTGAGGACAGTTTGGAACCCTCCGCCTACTGGTTCCTCCTGCACTGAGTGGCTGGATGGCAGGTCAGTGGGCCATCACAGACCACAGTGCTCAGTGTTAAGAGTTGTCTGTCTATTCTCTCTCTCTCTCTCTCTCTCTCTCTCTCTCTCTCTCTCTCTCTCTCTCTCTCCATCCATCCATCCATCCATCCATCCATCCATCCAACCTTTAACTCCAGATCCTCCTGCTATGGGATGTCTTTCTGTATGCTATGAACATGCGTTGCTCTGATTGGTTGATAAATAAGTTGTTTGGCCAGTGGCGAGGCAGAATGAGGTTAGGCGGGACATTCCAACCGGAGAGAGGAGGAGACAGGAGAGTGGGGAGACGCTGAGAGCCACAGCCAGGAGAAGCAAGATGTGGAAATGCTGGTAAGCTACGAAGCCACGTGGCCAGACATAGAATAATAGGACCGGGTTGAATTAAGTTATAAGAGCTAGTTAATAATGAGCCTGACCCATAGGCCATATAATTTGCAATTAATATTAAGCCTCTTAGTGGATATTTTATAAGAGACTGTGGGAGGGGGGAACTGGTGGGGTGGGGTGGGGGGGAATGGCAGGGCGGGACCAGATGGGACCAGAGAAACTTACGGTGACATCCTCCTACATCCTTCTCTCAAGTGCTAGGGTTATAGGCCTGTGCCACTGTGCCCAGAGGTCATCCTTTACTATGGAATTAAAATTGAGAGAGTACTGCCCCCTACACTGGTCTGGTATGTCCAGTCAGCCTGGGGCCCTGGTTTGTCCAACATTGGTTTTAATATATGTGCACATATGCCCCATCTGCTTTACTGTATCTATCGGTAACACCTTTCTACTTACAGCAAAAGGAAGTTTATCAAGTTTGTGGCCAGCGAGCCCCAATGATGCCCACTCATGTCTCTTCCACCCCCCAGCCTCCCCACAGCGCTGGGGTTATAAGCACACAAACTTGAACTCAGGACCCCATGCTTGTGCAGCAAGCACTCTTACGCACCCTTACGCTATCTCTCTGGCCTAACCTTATCTGCCTCGCCACTGGCCGAACGACTTTATTTATCACTCTTGATCTCTTGAGTGATACTGCGTTGTTTCTACCTCTGTGTGGTGATGAATGATGCTCCCGCTGTGGACACCACTGTACAGGGATCTGTTTGAGACGGCTCTCTGTTTCTTGGATATACCCCCAGAAGCAGACCTGCTGGATCATGTGCTAGCTAGTTCTATGTTTAACTTTTTGAGGGGCTGCCAAACTATTCCCCAAGGAAGCCCCTGTGGAGGCCTGATGGAGATGATTTTATAATGGAATTTGGCAGTAAGCATAATTGTATCTATTTTTTAATTCTCTCCTATTTACCTATTTTTCCCTGAGGGTTTCTACAAGTCCTTTTAGTTCATTTTTCTATTCTCTGTTTAACTCTAATATACCTGAGGGCAGTTCTGAACTGCGAATCTATTAATTGGTTAACCTGTACTAGCAACAAGGTTGGGGGGCGGGGTCAATTCATCCTCCCATTCTCTAAACCCTCTTGAGCCATACCATGGGTCCAACAAAAATGATGTCAGCTTCCCATTTGTGGAGACCTTCATCCCGCTCTTCACCCTCAAGCCATCTCCACCCAGTGTGGCCCCCACCCACCCCTGGCAGGAGCTTATGCAAACCCAGCCTTCAGGACGCCACTGAGCTCAGGTTGTGGTAATGCTGGAAGCTTCTGCCGCTGCAGTTGATTTTCAGTCATTCCTAATGGTGTCTCCTCCCTGTGTGTGCACATCACAGGATCTGGTACAAGACTAAACATGGAGCCTTCAGGACCCTTGCTAATTCATTATGAATATAAAATATATTCCGAGAAACACATGGAGGCTGGAAGTGTGGCCTTCACAGGTCTCCAAGTGAGAGTACTTGCCTAGCATGGGCAAGATCCTAGGTTCAGTCTTTAACGCCACAAATAAATACATAATACATGTAAACTCAGCAGTTTAATGAATAATTATAAAGCAAACATCCTTGTCACCACCACCAGGTTAAAGAGAACACTGTCCAGGACTCTTCATCCACCCTGGGAAACCTTGACCAGTGCTGACCTGCCCCCCCCCACCCCCACCCCCGACACACACACAGGTTGGTCTTATTCTGAACTGTATCATCATTTCTCCCTGTGTGTCCCCTTTGAGGCGTGCATCCCTGAAGATATGGTTTTGTTTTGCTTCGCTTGAACCTCCCATTAAAGACATGATGCTCTCTTCGTTTTGCATTGGCCTTGTCCACTCAGCTGTGTGCCTGTGGGTGACATCCGTGTCATTAGGTGCAATGGCACCTAACTGTGGTTAGCTGGTCTTCACGGATGGACAATGTGCCGTCCCTCAAAACCACTCTGTTTAGGGAACGTACGCTATGACTGTTGATAGGCCTTGGGGTGGAGCCAAGGACGCCTTGGAGAAAAGGACTTCCCATGATCTCTTTCCCGGGTCTGCAGGGGACAGCATGTGCTGGGGTCGGGGTGGGGGGGTTTCTGTGTCTACTTTCAGCCCAACATGCATGGATGTTGTCTGGCCTGCTTTTCAGAGTAGCCGTGGTAGTCTCACAGCTGCCTCAGGCAGGAGAGTGCCTGCGGGTCCCTGGCTCTCCAATACAGGGAGAACCCTGCGGATCCGCCTGTGCTTTCTACAGGAGCCACAAACCTCCGACATCCTTGACCTTGCAACCTCCAAACCTTGGGTATCTGTCCACACAGGGCAGCCAACCAGGCAGCATCCAGGACACCTTGCTGCCCCTCTGGGAACTGTGAACTCAACTCGTTACAAGTCTGGCCAGCCAGTCTTAAAAAAAGACTTCAAAGGCTCAGGATGCCACTGGCTGTGAGTTCCAGTGGCACCCGAGGGTCCTCCAAAGTTCTCCTCACAGCTCCCAGCGGAACCTCACACTCAGCTGTGTTTGTAGTTGTTTGACCAAGGCCAAAGTCAGAGGGCTGGGCCTACCAGGCAGGACACTCCCTCCCGCTAGCCCCCACTTCCTCGGGAACAAAGCAGGGGTACACATGAGAGGCACTGTCAGCACATAAAATTCATCAGTACCATCTGCTTGGAAAGGATACGTATGTGTGTCCCTTTTTATAAATTTGGGGTCATGGAGGTAAGTGCAAGGAAAAGCCCAGGCAAAATCACTTCAGATTCCAGCACCTAGAAAGAAGCATTTCATCAGTGTGGCTCTAGAAATCTCTCAGTGCAAGCGAGCAGACAGAGAAGTGGATGTGGATGAGATGATGGAGGGGTAGACATGCCAGCCATTGACCACAACCTGGATAAAATCCCATTGTACATATCATTTTAAGATAAAAGAAAAATGTATTTTCTTAAAGGTTCGTATCTGTTGTCTTCTTCCTCATAACGCAGAAGCCTGGAGATCACAAAACACAGATCTAAATCTAAATCAAATGCCTTCTACAACCAGAATATTCATTCCATTAATGCATCCCCACGTGTGTCTCTGCCTGTACATGATCTATACTAACTGTGTTCCCCCAAAATCTTGAAGCCCTCATACCCAATGTGCCTACACGTAGAAACATGAGGTAACTAATGTTGAATGAGGTCACAGGGGCCTAATCCGAGCTAACCAATGTCCTCAGAAGAAGGAAAGAACCCCCAAAGCTCGCTTGTCGAGGAGAAGCGACTATGGCGATGGCGTGAACAGGAGGCTGCCAGCCATGGAGGACGAGCTCTCCAGGAACTAATCCCACGGGCGCTCTGACCTTGGAGCGGCACTGTTCAGTCACCCCGTCTGTATGATTTGGGTACGGTAACTTAAGCAGCCCAGTCCTGCATCACAGTGCCTTCAGAATGCCTCCATCACAGCAGCAGAGCGGTGAGGCGCCTCCTCACCCACTGGCCATGCAGTGTCCAGATCCTCAGCGGGCCACTCAAAACCGCAGGGCAGCTGCACAGGCCTCCTGTCTGCACCCTCTCAGGCCGCAGTGAGAAGAAGAAGAAGAGCATCTCAAGCTATTCCACCGGAGCCCAAAGGAGACAGCAGATGGCGCCTCGCTGGCCACACAGCCAGGGCAACATTGAGCTTCTCAGCGTGGTGGTAAGTGGAGGCGTGCACCTGAAGTCAAAGGTGGCCAAACTGGTGGTTATTGTGGTGGATAAGAGCCGTCGGCATGGTTCAGCCTACAGAAAAGACCCAGCGCGGCAGTTTCTAATAGTCATGCCAGTATTTTAGCATCAGGACAATAAAATGCGTTGGTCCTCCACTGAGCTGGATCTCTCAGATGGCCTCAGCCTCTGACATGTCCAGGTCACAGCTCTCGAAGCTGGTAAGAGGACACTTCCATCTCACGTTCTGTCTGGGCCCAGCCATGTCTTCCTGGATGTAGTGCCCTCTTCCTCCTGAGGTAACACCTATGCAGTCCTTACTCAGATACACACACTCAAGCCTCCATGTCCACTGGCCCTACCAACCAAGGATTCAATAGACGCAGAAGGGAAACTTCTAGAAGCTTAAAAAAAAAGCAAGACTAGGATTATCCATTCACCAAGGACCATGAGGCATCCCTGTGAATGAAGCAAAGCAAAGGTGTAACTGTTGTAGCCTCCCAATGTCTCCACACACTGAGATTCACCAGTGCCCATTGTTTGAACCTCAGTCAAGGACTGTGAAACTGGGCCTGTGAGCTGCCTCTGGGCCAAACAAGTACAGGCCTTTTGTCCCTTGTCTCGTTTCCTGAACAAGACAATACAGCAAGCAGCTGTTTACATGGCACTTGCATTAGGTATTATATGGAAATCAGAGAACATTTAAACAACACAGGTGTGTGTGTGTGTGTGTGTGTGTGTGTGTGTGTGTGTGTGTGTGTGTATGTGGTTACACATAACTGTCATTTTGGTATCTAAGGGAGGAGAGGTTCTGGAACCAGTCACCTGCAAATACCAAGGGACTTAACAATACTTAGTGTATTTAACAGTCCTTAAAGGTACGTAGTAAGCACAGTGCCTAAGGAGATATGCTTTCAAGCGTAATTCAACCTGAACAGAGGGACCAGGAGGCTGGAGTTCCTCTTCAGGACACTGGGAAAAGCCCTTTTGTAAAGTGAAATTTCCCCCATGTGCACTCATGAAAAGAGGTACCCCCTGGAAAGATGTCCATTAACTGCCGGTCAAAAACGCATCACCCCATGATGCTCTCAGAGTTCAGCCTGTGGTTCAAAGTAAAGATCGGAGACACCAAAGTAAGACTATAATATTCACCTGGTTCAGATGGGACACCATCTTGTGTGGTACCTAAAACCTGTAAGTGAACCAAAAGTAGAGATCAAGTACCTGACTCCCATACCTGTAGCGTCACGAGACAAAATCCGCTGCTCAAGTCGGCCCTGACTCAAGGAGTTCTGCTCCCCTGATCATCTCTTAGACTACCAGAACCAACCCAGGGACCAGGAGTGCCAGAGTCACGTGCTTTACATCCAGATGCTCCAAAGGCCTTTAACAAGGCTGCGCAAGGCTGGGACCACGGCTTCCTATCTTCTTCCTGACGCCCCGGAGAGGCGAGGCTGCATCTGAATGATGCTGAGGGCCTGCATTATCATCCTAAGGCCCCAGTGACCCCAGTTGTCCTGGCTTCCCTTTCTTACCCAAGCCCCTGACGTGATCCCCATTCCCAGGCACCCCACCCCCACTTACGGACATCCCCTATCTCCAACTCCCATCCCTAGAAACCGCCCCCACAGCAATCCCTTCATAATCCGCTGGCCAAACTCTGTGTTGGGAGGAGAAAGCCGTTCCCCAGCAGGACCGTATTTCCAACTGCGTCCTTCTAAAGGATGCTGAACTCCAAAACCTGGAAGCTGCCTCTCCAGCCTGACTGCAGGGTTGTGCTTGGGGCTTGCAAGTTGTGGGGGCCGCGGTGCATATGTGTCCCGGGTACCTGCTCTCTACCCAGGTGCTGGGGGGTGGGCGTGACGGAAGGGGGTGCCTCTGTGTTCCTGCTCTGGCCCTGCTCTGTGGGGGCGGAGCAAGCTGGCTCGGCTCAGCTCCGCAGCAGCACCAGCTGGTGAGCTCGTCAGATCTTTCTCTACCCCCACGGCACCTCCTCCTCTCACCTAAAATGGGAGGCGAGAGGGGGAGGAAGGGCTGATTTTCCTCCTGGGCTGAATTTATCCCAGCTGCATGCAGACCGGCTGCGGGAGCCTGGAGGAGACAAACAGAGAAGGCTTGTTAGAATTTTTCAGAACTCTCTCTTGGTGTTTCTCGGCCCTCTCGTTTTCTTCCTACCTTCCAGGGGGAAGAGCTGTGCCCGACTCCTGCCGCTCCAAAGTGCGTCTGAGGGGCGCTCACAGCTCGGGGCTGCCTACCGGCTTTCAAGCAACCTCAGCCCCCGCTAAGATGTGTTTCAGCTTGATTAAGTGCCTGTCATTATTCTAACAGTCCTCAAGTTGGCCTTCGCTAATGTGATGCTGGCTCTCTGTTAGGTTTTAGATGAGCTGGTTCAGGAAGACACCGGGACAGATCACTGGTGACTCAGGACTTTGTTTGGTACTGTCATGGACAGAGAGATAGGGATGGGCATCAGCATGGCAGAACCCCGGAGGATAGTTCAGGCCCTAGCATCAGAGAGATACAGCATGATCTGGTCTCTGGAGAGAATCAGAGCCACAATAAAGGAAGAGGGAGCTGTTTCTCAGACCTTTTGAGGATGAAGGAGGTTCACAGCAGAAGCCTGCAGCCACACTTTCTGATTCCAAGGCAGGAGACTGGGAAAAGGGTGGGGAACAGGATGTAGCACCCCTTGGATGCATACCTACTTCCTAGGTGAAATGTCTGGACACCCAAGGACTCACAGAAAGGGTCCCAGTAGGGTGCCTGCCAACGTAAGGTAGAGGAGGCCCTGGCTAACATACATTCTTAGACCTCAGCCTCCTCCTAAGCTTTCTCTAGAGCAACAGTATGCCTGTTCTTGCTGTGGGATGTTCTCTATGCTGTGAATGTGTTGCTCTGATTGGTTAATCAATAAAGTGCTGATTGGCCAGTAGCCAGGCAGGAAGTATAGGCGGGACAAAGAGAGAGGAGAATTCTGGGAAGTGGAAGGCTGAGTCAGGAGATGCTGCCAGCTGCCATGAGAAGCAGATGGTAAGGTAACGGTAAGCCACAAGCCACGTGGCAACTTATAGATTAATAGAAATGGGTTAATTTAAGATATAAGAACTAGATAGCAAGAAGCCTGCCACGGCCATACAATTTTATAAGTAATATAAGCCTCTAAATGATTATTTTATAAGTGGGCTGTGGGACTGCCGGGGCTTGGTGGGACCCGGAGAGAAACTCTCCAGCTACATGTTCCTTTCCCCATAGAGGTTTACAGGAGACAGACACAGATGTCAACAGCCTGGGTAAGAGAAATGAAGAGCTCGGGTGTTCACCACGGAGCACACTAGGCCTGGACCAAGAGACAGGCTACCGATCCAGAAAGGAAAAAGTCTTGGAAGGTCGAGACACCACCTTGCTCAACCCTCACTGTAGCCCCTTGACGATAATAAGCTGTTGGGTATTCTCCATTGGAAGGTGGTAGAGGCTGCTGGGTAGCAGACTGAGGTCCTGAGGAATTGAGTCAGGGTGGACTGGGTAATAGCCCCCAGCCATGAAGAATGGGTTAGGGGGGGCAGCCTAACTATTCTGTTCCACTTGTGGAAACAATTTGCCCAGGTATCTAAAACAACCTACCTCATTCCTGGTCAAAGAACACACACATGCACATGCACACATGCACACGCACACATGCATATGCACACACGCACACGCACAGAGAGAGAGAGAGAGCTGTAGCTTCCTGGTACCCACCTATGTCTATGTCCCTGTCCCCAAGCCCCTCTAAATGCACTCAACCTTTGGCCTTGAGGGTGTTTATTGCCTTGTTGTGAGGCACAGGCCACTGAGGTTTTGAGTGAGGAGACAGAGGTGTGGCATGGCAGGAGCCAGGAGGGACCTCTGCAAACAGCAGTCACGACAGCTGTGTTCACACTGGCCTGGGACTCTGGAGTGACTGTGCCTGGCTGGCTGGGGCCAAGGCCTGAGGCTCCCTCTCCAGACTTCCCCATGACTCACCACAGGCCTCTCCCTTCCATCAACCTTGCACAGCCCTTACCTGCTGCCGCCAGCTGTTTCTGCTGCTGACAGGTGACTTCCACAGACACTGCGCTCGGTGACCCTACCCACATTTCCCTTTTCTTTTCTTCTTTTTGTTTTTTCGTTTTCTGAGATAGGGTGTCTCTATGCAGTCCAGGCTGGCCTCCAGTGCAGGATCCTCCTGCCTCAGCCTCCCAAGTGCTGTAATGACAGCACGGATTCATCACGTCCAAGTCAACCATACTTCTTTCGGAATGCTATCTGCCTGTCCAAAGCCAGAGGCCCGGCCACCACACTCAGACCACCTAAAGCATCAGCTGTCGAGTTAAAAGGGTCTAAGGCCCGGGTTTGGTGGAGAGGGAGTGTGTATAAGCCACCAGGTCTTGCCCAGGCTCCTGCCACCCACTCCTCCACCAGAACAGCTGCAAAGATTAGTGTGTTATGTGGGTAGCTGAAGACACCTAAGACAAGGCCACCAATCAGAGTAAAGCTCAATGCCATTGGAAGTCCCTATACCAACCAGCTTTCTGCATGGCTTTTGAGCATTTGATTCAAGCCTAATGCCCTACTCTGGCAGATGCTTCTAAGTGGGGCTTTTGTTACTCTAAGCCCGGTGCCCAGCGACTGCAGTGACTCTCCAGCATTGTGGTCCATGTCGCTGTGACTGGTGATCACCACCGTCATATTGACCGGTCAGAACCTAGGCACTGTTCTTCCCGCATTTGCCCTCTTCGGTGACATTTATCCCTACGCCCAACCTGTTAGGGACTTCGGTCAATGTTGATAGTTCAAACCAACTCAGGGTGGACCAGAACATCCTACGAAGCTTTGAAATGACTTGGCGTCTCAGGAAAGTCACAAAGAAGGATTCCTTAGTCTTTGGGAGAGAAGTCATACAAGATGTCAGATCAATCCTGGAGACTTGTGAGGAGCCACTGAGAAACTGCTGGAATTAAGGCCTGAGCAAGTCTTTTGTCTCTCCCTCTCCCCTTCCCCCCCCCGCCCCCCCTCCCGGAGCTGAGGACCAAACCAGGGCTAGGCAAGTGCTCTACCACTGAGCTAACTTCCCAACCACGCACATCTTTTAAAATGATCTTTGAATAAAACAGTGATACTCTGAGACCCAGAGGCCTTGGGTAGACAGGAGCTGGTCTCTGATTATTAACGCCCTGGAGTCTTGTAATGCACCCACAATAGTAGGAGGCTCCGAGAGCACACAGCCCCTCATGTCCCCGGAAGTCCCCGGAAGCCCCTTCCCGATGACATCCACATGTGTCATCCTTCCACGGGGCTGATTAGCTGTAGAACGTGGTATTTCCATGTTCCCAGGATGCATCTGAGTTAGCTCTGTGGCTAATTGGGTTTGTATCTGGCATCAGTGACATCAGAAAAGGGTTTTGTAGTCAATTATGTTCCGCTGGAACACACAGGAAGAGGTTGTCCTGCCAAAGCCCGGGCTGGTCTCTACCTTAACGAGGTGCCCAGACAAAGGCACCAAAGGACATTGTTGTCCCTGAGTTCCTGTCTTTAGTGACTTCTGTTCAACAAGACGCTGAGCTCCCTGCTGCACCCTGGGACAGCCTGCCCCAGGAGCACCCCCAAATGTGATCAGGTGCATTAGAGCTGCTTTCCAAAGTCAGCCCCGGGGAAATGAAACCTGCCGGTCTGGCCCAGCAGCCTGGCCACCCAGGGCTCCCTTTAACTGTTCCAAAGCCAGGAAATGGCCATTTCCAAAGCCTGTTACAGCCCCCTCTGCTTCCATAACCCTCGCCACATGGCATACACCTGGAGGAAGAGACATGGAATGCTTCCACATGGGTGTTCCCCACCCCACTCCAGTCCAGAACGAATCATTCTTCAAATGTTTTAACATCCTGCGTGTGGGTGGAAGTGAAACTTACTTCTGTCTTCCGGAAGAGGCGGTCTGTTTAAAGAAAAATCAGCAAGTTAGATGGCTGATTGGGAGCAGGGCTCTCGGCCACTCAGAAACTACAAGAGTCCTTGGCATTTCTCTCCTCCTCCCCTGACCCCTGACTCTGCCTTGGGTCTTGGCGGGTCAACTGTCACTTTTTCAGAATCCTAGAATTTCCCAAACCTCTGCCCAAAAGCCCTGGGGTCATTTCTTTTATCTGGTTTCGCATTCTTTGCTCCACAGCGGCCAGCCTGGGAGGAAATCACTTCCTCTGGTGGGTAGCTGCCATGGGGGTGACGGTCTGAAGGAACTTCGGTTACAAGCAGCACTGCATGTGAACTGGCCTGCGGTCAGCCGCTGGGGAGGAGGGAGTCTATCCTAGGCCAGGCAGTGCCCAGCGTGTGCTGTGCCAGCCCAGCCCTGAGCCTGAGGGCTCCTCACCCTGTGTGTGCCTCGAGGATCCCGTGGACTCCCTGGTAAAGTGACGCGATGTGGTCCAGCCACTCCCAACATGGGAAGAGGATCTGCACATTTCCTGCCTTTTATCTTCTGGGTGTTGGGGACAAATATGTCCAAATCACCATAGCACCACCCCTGGGGCAAGGGCCAGAGTCGTGGCTCTGCTGTACAGAGAGGACTCGGAGAAAGATGTGCAGGCAGCCTTTGCAGATGGGGGCGGCGCGCAAGGGGTGGTGGACCAGGCGCCATCTGCTCGACCCAGGCCAACCCTCCTCAGGCTGAGGACATGGTACACAGCCTGTGTGGGGACACACACTGCAGTTCTCACAGCCTGATTGCCAATTCTGGGTTCCTTCCTGGGAATGCCGGGAAAACTCCACTGTGGAATCTTATCATTAACTGGTGAGCATCGTGCCCACCCTTGACTGCTGCCCGAGTGGAGTTTTGGAAATGAGCTCAGCTTTGAGAAGGCAGATTGAGAACACAAACACAGACCACGAATGTACCAAATGACTTTTAGGTGATGAAAATAATCTTGTAACAAATCAAACACGTCAGAATTTAGGTCCCCAAACAGGTGTCCCAAGTGATTCCCCTAGGGGTGGCAGGGGCATAGGTCTATTTGCAGTTATCCTGGTCTAATACAGAGGGGAGAATTGCTTTGATGAAGTGTGCCAATTGCCAAGCTCTGACTGCCTTGCAGAGTTTTCTTCGTAATCCTGCTTGTCCTTCCTCTCTGTTGCCCCACTGTACCTGGCCCGTCCCCCTGCCCTTCCAGTCCTTGTCTGCATCGAGGTCTCCCCCCTTGGCCTCTCACCTCAAAGGTGCAGCAAGGATCTGGACGGAGCTGACTCCCAGGAAACACCCTTGCTTTCTCACAGCAACCTCTCCTTCTCCCAACCTGCTTCCCACGTCTCCCTTTGGTTCCCTCCGCCCACAGACTTCCTTCCAACTTCCCGGGCTTGGTGCTTCTGCGTCTTTGCCCTTCACAGATCGTAGGGGAGGAGGCAGATGGCCTGCTTCCTCTCTAGAAGGGAATCCACAGAGCCTCAGTTTTCACGTACATGGGCCAAGTGCATTCTACACATGGATGTGTGCCACTGAGGGTGCTGGTCCCAGAGTCACCCCCTGAGAACACATCCTTAGGTGGCTGTCCTAAAAAACAACATGCTAATAGCCTTCGGACGGGACGGGACGGGACGCCCCACCCCCACCCCCACCCCCACCACCGCCACTGCCCTCCTAACCTGCCCTGTGCTTTCCCCTGGAAACAGTCTCCAGGCAATTGCATTTTGAAGAAGTAGAGCTTGAAGTGCTCTGAGCAGGACAGGCGCATCATCCTTCTTACAGAATTAATTCCTGTTACGTCTGGAACCAGTCTGGCTGGAAGCAAAGACTATCATGGCCAGATCTCCCATTTGTGACTCCTCTGGCACTTTGTTGCCAACCCAAAAGCCTCTTAAATGTCCCTCATGTCTGTCTGGGCTCCCGATATCCTGAGAAAGCGGCT